AGGTGAGAGGTGGAGAGGAGGCGAAGGAGCGATGCGAGGGGGGGGGGAGAAGTGGAGAGGAGGCGAGAGGGGTGAGAGGAAGCGAAGGAGCGAGGAGGCGAAGGAGGAGCGAACGAGGGCGCCCGAGAATGTTATGACAACGCGGCCTGAAGTGCTGAGGACTCCTGGCGAGGCGTGGAGGAGCCGCCCCTCCTTCCAAGTCAAATAGAAGACGCTGTAATAACGCGCGGCGATAAAAGCTGCATAAGCGAGGGAGAGAGAATTCGCCGGAGCTGAAGGCGATCGGGACGTCGTCGGCCGAGCGTCTTCTGTCGGGACTCCCGGTCGCAAGACGCTGGCGACGCCTTCGGGAGGATCTGGTTTACAGCCGCCCTCTTGGACTTCAATTCTGCCTCTCTATCCGTTTTCTCCTTCTTCTTCTTCTTTTTCTTCTTCCTCTCCTGCTTCTGCTTCTTTCTTTCCTCTTCTTATTCTACATCTTCTCATTACCCTTTTCTTTTTTCTGATTTTTCTTCTTCTTTTGTATCCATCCTTTTCTTCTTCCTCTTCTTCTCATTTTACTTCTTCTTCTTCTTCTTCTTCCTCTTCGTCTTCCTCTTCTTCTTCTTCTAATTCATCATCTTCTTCTTCTTCATCATCATCATCATCATCTTCGCCCCATCGAAGCCTTTGCCTCCCTCTGGAATCTCGCTCCTCATCCAATTCCGTTTCCATCGAACACGCCATCTTTCCCCTCACACACGAAGCCAAAAGCCACCGCAGCCTTCCTTATGAACTGCGGCCGGGGGAGCTAGCACGGAACAGCAGGGAGACGGAAGGACTCTGATAAACCAAGGGGAAAGAGAGAGCGAAGAAGGTTATCAAGGAGGAAGCGTTCCTTGAGGGTTGTTGCGATGACCTGGGAGAATAAAGTGTCTACAAAGGACGAAGGATAAGAAGGGAGGGAGAGAGGAAGAGAAAGAAAGGAGGGGGATATAGAGAGAAGAGGAGAGAGGGGAAAAAAAAGGAGGGGAGAGAGAGAAAAAGGGAGGGAGAAAAAATAGGAGGGAGAGAGAAAAAAAAAAAGATGGAGAGAGAGAAAGAAGGAGGAGAAAGAGAAGGATAAAGAGAGAGAGAGGGAGAGGGAAAGAGAGAAAGAAACAAAAAGGGTGTTTGTAAGGAAAGTAATTTCAGTGAGCTTTTAGTAAGCGTCGATAAGCGTCTGTGAGAATAGATCCCCTCCCCCCCCCTCCCCCCCTCCCACCCCTCCCCTACCTACCTTACCCCACCACCCTATTCTCTCCCTCGACCAGGTGAGAAGGCGGGTAAAAACGTGAATAAAAAAAGGTGAGAATGCTCGCGAGTAGAGAAGAGAAAGGGGAAATGGGGTAGGGAGATTGAGGATGAGGGTCCGGAGAGATGAAGGGTCGGAGAGAGGGGAGAGGGGAGATGAAGGGGGAGAGAGGGGGGAGGGAGGATGAAGGGTCGGAGAGAGGGGAGAGGGAGGATGAAGGGTTGGAGAGAGGGGGGAGGGGAGGATGAAGGGTCGGAGAGAGGGGAGAGGGGAGGAGGAGGGGTTGCACTGCATGAGGGCTTTTTGGTGTGCAAGTTGATCCTACCATTCGTGCATGCGAGGGCTATGTGGCCCCTCTCTCTTCCTCTCGTCTCCCCTACCCCTCCTTTTCTCTTCCCGTTTCCTCCTTCTCCTCCTCTCCCTTCACTTTTTCTCCCCTCATCTTTACTTCATTCTCCCTCAAGCCTGCCCGCCTCTTCACTCCCTCTCCCTTACTTTTCTCCCTTCTCTTCTCGTCCCCTCCCCTCCCCAAGTTTCTCCCTTTCCTCCCTTTTGCTGTCCTCCTTTCCTTTCTCTTCTTGCCTTTCCCTTGATCCCTTCCCTATCCACCAGTCTCTTCCCCTTTCCCTCTCTTACCCTCCACTCCCCTTTTCCTAGTTCCCCTCCATCCCCTCTCCACTAGTCCTTTCCATTTCCCTCTCTTCCCTCCCCTTCCCTCCCCACCAATCGTTCCCCTTCCCTCTTTCCCTTCCCTTCCCCTCTCCACCAGTCGTCTCCCTTCCCCCTCTTTCCTCTCTTCCCCCTTCCCTCCCCTTTTCCTCTCCCTCCCCTCTCCACCAGTCGTCCCTTCCCCCCTCTTCCCTCCCCTTCCTTTTCTCTCCATCCCCTCCACCAGTCCCTTCTCCTTTCCCTCTTTCCCCTCTCCTCTCCCCTCCCTCCCCTCTCCACAGTCGTTCCCTTCCCCCCTCCCCCTCCCCCCTTTCCTAGATTCCCTCCATCCACTACCCACAACAACGTTTCAGGAGCCAGGAGTCCACCCTCTCAGATCTCAGCAGAAGCCGGAGGACCGACTTCTAGGTCTCCTTATCGACCCGACGCCCCGACAAATGATTCGTTCCATCAAGAGTCGGGAGGGACATTGTTCGGCTGTCGGTCGGTCATGAAGCGAGAAACCGCTAGAGAATAGCGTGTTTTGAAGGGACGGGGATGGGGTGGGTAAGGGGGGAGGGGGTCCTTAGAGGGAGTAGGAGGGGGAGGGGAGTAAAATGTCTTTTTTAACGACCACTAAACGTTTTCTTTTTTTCATCATTTGTATGGATGACAACAATGGCGTTTTTTTTCGTTTTTTTTTTCTTTTTTTTTGAAGGGGAATAACGAAGGAGGAGGAGTATTAGACGGAGCGAAGGAAGCAAGGAATTTTATAATATAAAGAAAGGAGAAATAGTTAAAGAATGGAAGAGATCAAGGAATGAAAATGAAAACTAATATGATATATAAAGGGAAAAAGAAGAGAAATGAGTTTAAAGATTGGAAGAGATTAAGGAAAGAAAGACAAGAAAGAGCAAACACATTGAAATAAACGAGGAAAGAAGAGGAAAAAGAAATTACACATAGGGAAAGAAAATGAAGATTGTAAGACGAAAGATTATATGTATGACAGAAATGAGAAAATTTTAGAAAGAATTTCAATAAAGAAAGGAAAAACAAGATTGAGGAACGTAATAGGAGAAAGGAAGGAAGGGAAATGGAAATAAAGATAATGAGGGAAATAAACAATAGGGGCAGTTGAGAAAAAAAAAATAATTTTGAAGAGAATGAAGACAGTTCGGGAAAAAAGGAATGCAAAAGAAAGAAAATGAACAAATTAAGGAATGAAGGGAATAAAAGAAAATAAATGTGATGGGAGGACGCGAAGAAATAAAAGAGAAAAGGGAAAAGTGGACGTAAAGTGATATCAGAAAAGCTAATTAAAGAAATATTAGATGAAAAGAAAGAAAGAAGACAGAAGGAAAAACAGAAAGAATGAAAGAAAAAAAGGAAAGTCGTTGGTACATAGATTAACACTAGAGAAATGAGACCAGACAATGAAAGAATTTTATCTTTGAAAAGGAAATAGACAAAGAAAATGATTAAAAAACAAAAGAGAAAAATTAAGAAAAGAACCTGCAACAGAATGAAAATTGCAAGAAACGAGAGAAGGAAATGAGGAAAATAGACACATAAAACAATCAAAAAGACATATGAAAACTAAGAAAAGAATCTGCAACAAAATGTAAATTGCAAGAAACGCATAAAATACGAAAGAAAGAGGGAAACGTGGAAAATAGACTCATAATTATTATTATTCTTAAATGAAAACTAAGAAGATAGAAATAATAATAATTAGAAAAAACATGAAAACTAAGAAGAGGAAAAAACAGCAACAAAGTAAAAACTACAAAAAACAACAGAAAGAAAATACGGAAGGCTTCGACCGCTCCTCCGACACGCAAAACGCGCGCGAGAATGTAAGTAAATACGAGTCGCTCGGGCGGGCGCGATTCAGTGGCGATTCTGCGGCCGGAGTGATGAGGTGCGATATCCTGCGGTCGGTAAACAAACACGCTAAAAGGGACTCGAGGTCGGTATGTAGCGGGATTTTTTTTCTTTCTTTCTTTAAGGAAGGGGAAAAAAGGGGGATGATTATCTTTGTGGGAAGGAAGGATGGGGATGGGGGGGTAGGGAGGGAAGATGGGGAGGGGGTGAAAGACGGGGTGACGAGTATGTATGTGTGTGAGAGAGAGACAGAAAGAAAGAGAGAAGAGAGAAGAAGAAGGGGGAGGAGGGATAGATATAGCCCACACACAAAGAAGGAAGAAGAAAAACAACAACGTCGATCAAACAAGCGTGCATTTTTTTGTATTTAGAAATATTTTATGAATGTATACATTTATAGCCTCTAAAAACACAAAATTGCTACTGTTTTATCATTCCATTCAGTCATTTTCGCACATGCAAAAATGCGCAGATATGCTCTTAGATTGCATATGATTTAACTCACTCGCTCTTGACAATGTTACTGTATTACACGTAGTTTTATTACCTGCTTGCGGCGCTGCAGCCGCTGCGTGGACGAAATTTCAAGAGGATCGGGAGGAGCTCTGCGGGGGAGGGAGGGGGCGGGGGAGAGGGATAAGGTTTAGGGAGAGGGAGAGGAGAGAGGGAGAGGGAGAGAGAGAGAGAGAGGAGAGAGAGAGAGAGGAGAGAGAGAGAGAGAGAGGAGAGAGGAGAGAGAGAGAGAGAGAGAGAGAGAGAGAGAGAGAGAGGAGAGAGAGAGAGGAGAGAGAGAGAGAGAGAGAGAGAGAGAGAGAGAGAGAGAGAGAGAGAGAGAGAGAGAGAGAGAGAGAGAGAGAGAGAGAGAGAGAGAGAGAGAGAGAGAGAGAGAGAGAGAGAGAAGAGAGAGAGAGAGAGAGAGAGAGAGAGAGGGAGAGAGAGGGAGAGAGAGGATGAGACAGAGAGATAAAGAGAGTGGGAGAGATAGAGATAGAAGGAGAGATATAGATAGAGGGAGGGATAGAGACAGACAGACAGAGTGAGAGACAGACAGGGAGGAAGGGAGACGTAGACATATATACCAGAGAAACAGAGATATACAAAGAGCATGCAGGAATTGTGTTAAACAAACTTGTCAAGGTAAATGTACACTGAAATCCCACATAACAGACACAGCATCAACAGAAATTTCACAAATCAACATCAGCAACATTTCCCGTGTTTTATTCTCCTCTTTTTGTTTCTTTTTTTCTTTTTTTTCTTTTTTTTACTTCCAGCGTTAAGTTCAATCTTGGCGTTTGGACACGTGAATTTTTAACTGTGTGCATTATGTTTAATCTCCGCGTTTTTCCTTCCCCTTTGTTGATTCTGCAGACGACACACGCACGGTCGCCGTCTGTTGCAGACCGACGTCGGGGCCTCGGGGCTATGTCGGGCCTGGGACGGGCTATCTAGGGGCGAGGGGGAAGGGGACACAGGCTATGGAGAAGGGAGGGGGAGGGATTGGGAGTAGGGAAGTGGGAGGAAGAGGAAGAGGGTGGAAGGAGGAGGGATAGAGGGAGAGGAGAGGGAGGAGGAGGAGGTATAGAGAGGGAGAAGGAGAGGGAGGAAGGAGGGATAGAGAGGGAGAAGGAGAGGAGGAAGGAGGGATAGAGAGGAGGGTGGGAGGGAGAGGGAGGGAGGGAGGGAGGAGGGAGGGAGAGGAGGGAGGAGGGAGGGCAGTGGGACGGAAGACCTCTGGGAGTTCCATAAATCAGAGTGACAATACGGGGACTTATTTACATATTTCCTGCTCTCGCTGTCTTAACTGGAAGTGACTTGGTACCGCGTGGCCCCGCGGGCGCCGCCTCGCTTGCTTCCTTCTGCTTCTTCTTCTTCTTCTTCTTCTTCTTCTTCTTCTTCTTTTCTTGTCTGTCATTTAGGGTTGTAATTGTCATTAAATCTGGAAGTAGTTTTGATTTTATTATTGTTAGTGCTATCTCTAAGTTTTGTTACTAACACTACTATTACTACTACTATTGCTGCTGTTATTACTATTACCACTGTTATTACTATTCCTGTCACTACTACTACGACTATTATTATTAGTGCTGCTACTATTGCTACTACTACTATTACTACTATTATCACTAATACTGTTACCACTATTATTACAATTATTACAATTACTATTACTACTACCACAACTACTACTATTACTTTATGACTATATTACTATTACTAGTATTGCTATTGCTATTACTACTAATATTAGTACTACTATGACTGTTACTACTACTACTATTACTATTACTGCTACTGTTACTACTACTGCTATTATTATTACTACTACTTCTACTACTATGATTACTACTATTATTACTACTACTTCTACTGCTATGATTACTACTACTACTACTACTATTATTATTACTACTACTAGTGCAACTACTACTACCACCTCTACTATTACTACTACCACTACCACAGCCATCATTACTACATCTGTTATTATCTCTGGCAGCCACAATCAGTTTATTCGTCTCAACTGCTTCCAAGATTGCCTGATGGCTTTGTGACAGTTTTATTGCAGCTGAACGTTGTAACGGAATCATTGTTCTTGCTTTCTTCGTAGTTTCTCGTTTTGCCGTAACAGCTGTTGTTGTAACTGTCCCCTGAGGTTTTTTATTATTATTTGCATTCGTTACATTACCGGGATTGTCAGAGGAGGGAGGGGGGGCTGGGCCGTTCTGCTGACAACTCTGCTGGCAATCTCCTCTGCTGATAAAGGATTCGAGCAGGAGGAGAAAGGATACTGTGTTTCTATAGGGGGGGGGGGGGTCCGGGCCAGGGTGGAACTCCTCGCGACGAGTGGTTTGTCGTCTGTGGTTTATGGGCTGATAGAGGGAGAGGGAATGGGGGGGGTAGGGTGGCAGAGGAGGAGGAGGAGGGGGGCGGAAGTGGGTAGAGAGAGCGGGTGGGGGTGGGGGTGGAGGGAGATGGGCGGGGTGTAGAGAAGGGGAAGGGCAGAGTAGAGGGGGGAGGGGGAGGGAAGAGAGGAGGAGGGGGGAAGGAGAGGATTTATAGACGGGGAAGGGGGGGGGATAGGCGAGAAGTGGAGAAAAGGGAGGGAAAATAGGGGAGACAGGAGAGTGAGGTGAGGGAGAGAGAAGAGAGACAGACAGACAGACAGACCATGATCATGGAAATCATACGACAGTTAATGATAACAATAATGTTAATATTAATTTATTATTAGAACTGCTGGTAAAGATTAAAACAATGGTAATGACAATCATACTAATGATAATAACTGTCATAGTAATAATAATGAGGACGATAATAAAAATAGTAATGAGGACGATAATGAAAATAGTGATGACGACTGTCATAGTAATGAGGACGACGACTAACTGTAATAATAATGAGGACGATAATGATAATAGTAATGATGACTGATGATGACGATTGTTGTAATAAGATTCATAGTCGTACCCACCGCCATCACCACCACTGTTACAACCACAACTAATGATAATGCTGGCGATAATTATGAGAATAAATTAGCAAGTACCCAAACCCGGACAAGCGAGGGACTCCCCCCCCCTCCCCCGCCAAAAAAAAAGAAAAAGTAAAA